CTTTCTCTTAAATTTTAATCTCTCTTAATCTTTACTAAATTCTCTCTTTTATAATTTATACTTATACATTTTATATTTATATAGATTATATAATATAAATATATAATCACATATTACTAATATATTATATTATTATATATTTATATTAAAATATATTTCGAAATTCGAATATATTATATTATTAATATTATAAGTTTATCATATTATAATATTCTAAATTTTTAATGTAGTCTTATTTTTTATCAATATAAAAATATATTAAAATGTCGAGAGAGTCGGATAGAAAGTCTGTAGATATGGGTGTTGTGAAGTGAGGACGTTCTAACAAAGGCAAAGCTATCGCCACCTCATCCGAAGGTTCGAGCTCACGTGCTTCTCAAGGAAGAAACTCTGTCTCATCCTTTCCTATTATCCACATCAATTCATAGACGACGCTATGACCGATCAAGAATTCGATAAGTATTTGGAAGGTAGGAATGAGTAATCTTCAAACTCTTGAAGATATATATATATATATATATATATATATATATATATATATATATATATATATATATATATATATATATATATATATATATATATATATATATATATATATATATATATACTCCCTCTGTCCCGCTATATTCATCCACTTTTGACTTTTGGAACTGTTCATCTAAGCACTTTGACTCATCAAATTCTCTCAATATGTAAGCCTAAATATAGTCATGTGTGATCTTGTTTGATTTGTCTTAACATATAGATTATTAATATATAATTTCTATAATCCTTTAATATACAAATTACAAGATAAAATGGATTAAAGAAGTGTATTGGATGGTGTGTAAAAATGAAAGTGGACAAATACTCTGGGACGGAGGTAGTATATATATATATATATACATACATACATACATACATATATATATATATATATATATATATATATATATATATATATATATATATATATATATATATATATATATATATTGAAGGACGTTGAAGAGGAGGTGAAACCAACACCCGAGAGAAACAATCCTACCTATGAGAATAGAGGTGAGCCCGAGACCTATGAAGTCCGGGAAAAGGTAAAAAACATAAATTGGATTTATTTGTACACTATTTTAGTAAAGATACAAAAAACGACGAAATTTTTGTAACTTGTCTTCATTGTGGGACAGTCATAAAATGAGAATTTTTGGGGAGTTATGGTGGACTCGCCAAACACCTCAGAGCGAGGCATCCCATGGAGTATGTCAAATACATGGTGAAGAAGGGATAAGTGCAGATCCAAATTTCTCGATTTGCAAACAAGGGTAACGATGGCCTTTTTGCTTATAGCGATGAGAAAAATAAGCAAAAATGGTTGAAATGATTTGTGAGGAAACCATACATGTTTTTTGAAAAACTTGGATTTATTGATTATTGTCAAACCACACTAAACCCTCAAGTAAGAGGATTTTCAAGAGAAACAATTATGAGAAAAATTAATAGACAATATAAAATTGAAAAAAATAATTTGACAAATTTTGTTCTCACTTTTAATTCTTGTGTTATTATTTGTTCTTATATTTGGAGTGAAACATATAATAATTTGTCTTATATGAGTGTTACTTGTCATTGGATAGATGGTGATTGGATTATGCATAAGAAATATTTGCACTAAATAGCACTAAAACTTAAGTCATTTCTCTAAATAGCACTTAAATTGTTTTATTCCCTAAATAGCACTTAATAATGTCCATAATGTCCAGTGATGGCAAATATTTACTTGAATAATGACTAATTCATAATGACTAAAAGTGCTACATTGGGAAGAAAAATGCATGTGATGCTATTTAAAGAAAGTCATTATGTTTTAGTGCTATTTAAGTAAATTTCTCTTATGCATAAACATGTTCTTGCATTTCGTGATTTCAATGAATCTCACACTGGTGATAATACTTTTCTTTTGCTTGAGCGTATTCTCCAAGAATACAAATTACTTGATAAAGTGTTTGCATTTGGTTTTGATAATGCTACTAATAATAATGACGTCATTTTTAGACTTCGAGAAATTTGCCTCCCTAGCAGCGCCATGAGTAGATTTCTACATTAAAAGTGTGCGTGTCATGTTTTAAATTTATGTGTTCAACAGAGATTAAAAGCTATGGGGGGTTGAGCAATATTAGGGGTGGGTTAAGAAAGATTTGGGCTAGTCGTATTAATTCGAAGGCATGGAAGACATATTGTAAATCTAGAAATAGAAAACCAATAACATTTGCTAAAGATATTACGATTAGATGGAATAGTACATATAAGTTGAGTGCACAGATTCTAAGCTACAAAGAGAACTTACTTCATATCTTAGGTTTGAACTTCATTATATGGTTAATTTGAGTGAATTTGTTATTGTTGAAAAATTGAATCCCGTGTTAGAAATTTTTAATAATGCAACTCTTACTTTCTCGCATGTTTACAAACCTACGAAAAACAGACTTTTTTAGTGTATTACAATTGCAACATATTTTCATGAGAGCTTATGTGATCAGGAGTTGTACCCCTATATCATTCCTATTAAAGATAAATAGTGTGCTTATTATTTGCATATTCCTGATATTTATAAAAATGGTATTATTTGTGATCATCGCTTTAGGATTAATAATTTTAAAATTCTGATGGAGTATTACTGCAGTTGTTTTTTAGATGAAAATAATTATTTCTACAATCATTTAATAGAATGGACAAAATATAAAGACAATGCTATTGATCATTTTGAGTCATTATCTAAAGAATTTCAAGCGATTTACGGTAATGCACCGGAAGAAACATCACCTCTTCCGCCTCCCAAACCAAAAAAAGGTTTTAAAGAGATAGTTCGGTGGCCTCTTGGCAAAAAGGTAAACGTACTTCTGTCTCGACGAGTTGAGGTGGTACAACTGTAAGTTCGCACAATGAACTTGCTATGTATCAAGGGGTGCCATGCGGTTACGACGAAGACAATGATAGAGACTTCGACGTCTTCGTTTGGTGGAAGCGGAATGAACACATGTTCATGTCTCTCAGAATGCTAGCCAGACAAGTCTCATCTGTGCAAGTTTTAACTGTAGCTGTGGAACAAGAATTCAGTTCTAGCGGCAACAATCTAATCGACAAAGGAAGTTGTCTTAATGTTGAATCGCTTGAGACACTTGTTTGCAACCAAGATTGGCTCTTGGCAAGACCTCGAGCTCAAGAGTCACGGTACAATATTGATATGGAAAATTACATGAATGGAACCATAAAGGAAAGGCTTAGTTCTGAGGAATAAGTGAATAACTTTTTTTATTTAATTATAATTAGTTTTTTTAGGTGAGTGATATATAAGCTAGATATTACCCTAAATAGGACTAAAACATAGAAAAAACATCAAAACAAGAGTTCCATATTTTATTTCACGAAATAGAATTTCGCATAGTGGTAATGTGGCATTGTACATGTGCACATTACTATACTTTTTGGTAATGTACACGACCATGTTTGGTAATGTAATTTCATTTTAACTCCTATTTTGGGAATAAAAACATGGAAGTTCTATTTTGGTATATTTCCAATATCTTTTTCCCTATATAAACTCCTTCGAGAGCTTCTTTACGATTCTTTACCTCGTCGCTTTTTGAACCGTTTGGATATTAAATATAGTTGCTTTTGTACTATTCATTTTTCAATATTTAAATAACAACAATATTTTTAGATATTCTAATTCATAAAAATTAAAAAGTATATATGGAGTATTTCTTTTGCTTTTACGCTTACACATTTACAAATTATCAGTGCCAGAACAAAAATAGGAGGCAGAACAAACTGGCCGATACAGTGCCAGAACTGCCGGTGCGAGTACCAGCACCGATGCCGTTAACAATGAATCTATGACTAATTTCTTTTTATGATTCACTTTCAAGATTCAGTGTACATATTTTTTTCACAATATTTTGATTAATAAATGGATCAACAAAATATCAAAGAAACAAACAATTATGACATAAACAAACAATAAGGATTTAGAGTTACCTCACGCAGAAGTGACGTCGCGAAATTGTGGATGCCGTTTTTTCTCTCTTTTTCGGAAGTAAACATTTTTTATGCCCAGAAGCATTTTTAAAAACACACGATTTGATACCAAAATGTAACACCCAAAGCCGCATAACCCAAACCAACAAGTTAGCGAATCAAATTGTAATTATCTTCTCTAATTTTATTCTTCTAAATATAAATTCACTAAATTTAATATTTATTGTAATTTATTTGTCATTTATTACATTCTAATAAAAAATAAATATTAGTTTATATTTTATAGTATAATACAGAGTATGACTTATTTAAAATATGTGAATAAAAAATTTAAAGATAAGTTGTGGGTGTCTGTTTAGAAAATAAAGAACTTAAATATAGGTGATGTGGTGATCATTTAGATGAGAGAGAATGATTTAATGGATGAATTTTTAATAAAAGAATGGAGATGCTCTTAGAAGTGCCAAGTTTGGATAAGAAACCAAATTCTTTAGTTAACTAGGCATTTAATAAATTTATATTAGTTATTTTACAAATAAAATCTATATTTAGATAGTAACTATTTTAGCAAAATAATATCATTTATGTAGCACATTCCATTTTTTGAAAACATAAAAAAAAGTTTTAGAACCAGTACCAAAACCAAAATTAGCCCTTGTCCACCCATACTTCTAGCCATTAAAAACGGCTACACTGCGTTTCACCAACGATCAGTATGCAACGAGTTAATACAAATCCAGGAAGAACAGAAAAGAACCGGTTTATGTTCCAAACAAACATTCCTAACACCTAATTATAGGTAACTAGAACCAACCCCTTCCTGTGCCGTATGAAATGTACCCTTGTGGCCCCACCAAATCGGACCTAATTTCTTTCTAGTAACATTCCAAAACCAATCACTCAATTGCTATTGATCACCCCCCATCACAAGCATTATCCCCTCCAAAGAACAAATATATGTACTGAACAAATAGTACTAGTACCTTATGGATGGTGCCCCGCTCATACTGTTCATGTTCTTGAACCGACAATTGCGGTCACACATCTTGCGCAAAAGGACAGTCCAACACAGAGCGAAACCAAGGATGTTCATTCTCTCCCTCTAACGTAGAAGAGTTACGTGCAAGATAGATCGATGGATGATCAGAATAATTATTCAAAAACACACATTTTACTGAATGTAATTAAAAAAAACTTTACGTGCATAGTTATGGAAAAAATAAGCGCAAGATATATTAATTTGGTGTAAGTTTTGTAAAATTATCATGAATTGAATAAACTTATTCCGGGGTACAATAATAATTAATAAAAGCTAACACCAGATTTTAAATCCAAGCATACTAACATATTATCTTCCCAAGAAGAAAGTACAAACAAGGGGGGTTGGAAGAGAGTATGCTTCTTGATGTTTTTTTTATCTAGATGTTAAAAATAAGTAAAAATTAATGATGTATTGAGAATATAGTTCATTTAATCAAATACCTTATCTTTGTTTAGTAGAGACATTTGAAATGGCAATCACACAATAATTTTATGTGCAAATTTTGTGTTTTATCATTGTATAAAGCTTGAGTGGTATGTAGATAAGAAAGACAGAAGTTGTGGATGTATGACTTGATATGGATGTGAGAGTTGTTTGAAAGGAGGTAATCGACATCATTAATTAGGAAATTAATATTTAAAATGGAGAAAAGCTATCACCACATTTAATTAGAGTTAAATTGAGAAATATTGGTGTAATAGCACAACCATTGCTAGCCATTATTTGTATTTAATATAATGTTATTTGATTTGATTTAAATATGATATTTATTAATACAAATTTTTGGTTCAATACCTAATGAATCTGTTTCGAGTTCACTTGGTAGCCAGAAGTTGTCAAATAGAGTACTCCACATCAGCCTATCAAGCTTAACCATGCGCCAAGCTGCCAACCATGTTTTGTTGTTGTTGGTTGGCTTAGTAGATCATTAAAGTACAATACAAAGAAAAGTTCAAAGGAAAGGCTATTGCTTACACCCCAAGGGTAGCTAAAAATTATCAAGCAAAGTAGATTAATTAAACTGCTGAGCAGAAACCCTAGGAACTTTTAGTCTAGAAAAAAGGATAATAAAAGCATCAACATTGTAAAGCTCCCCATACCAGTGAATGCCATTGAAGACCATCATCAAACAGATTCATCGATTATTACATTGATAATAATGGTGCAAAAATGAGGAAAAGTGCAGTGCTGAGACCTGAAACTAAGTATGGTGACACTGAAGTATGCAACAGCAGAGACTTTGGGTTTTCATCTGCAACCTTTATTTAGATCTGGGAAAATTTGCAATATGAACTTCGGCTAACCTGTTTCACGGTACCTCAAGATTACCATGCCATTTGCCTACATGTTTTATAAGTAACATCACAACTGATGTAAACCAAGAAATGAGCAACGAATACAAGAAATGGAGGATGTTAAAAGATGAAAAAAACTAAAAAATAGGGAGAGGTGGATAAGTTTACCAAAATGTGAGAGAGAAGCAGAGAACGAATAGAAGCATAGAAAATAGTTAACATGAAAAAGAAGAGGATGAAAGAAATAAAAAAGAAAACTTACATCGGCTAAGCATCATAGAGAAGAAATCACCGGTTGGGATAAGTGAGTGATGGGGAGATATATGTGGCATGATAAGCATGGGAAAACTGAATAGATCAAAGAATTTATTAGGATTTACACAAAGGATAAATGCAAATAACTAACAGCATACCTTAATAAGTCTAATAAAGGTAACCTAAGAATGACAGCTACCCAACAAATGTTGATGGGGGAATAGTAGTTGTGTTGCTATGTTCAAAACATAACTCTACTGAAATGTACTTCGTGTGTCTCTAAATAACTTCATGTTTCATTTTTTGCACATCCCTAAATACACTTATATCCATATCTTGTCTAAGATTCAGCATTTTTCTCCTTTATTATGGGAAGAAGTTGTTTTGGGGTATTTTAGATGTGGTAGAAGTGTTTTTTGGGATGAGCAAAAAATGAAACAGGAAGTTTTTTTAGAGATGGAAGAAGTATTAAATTAATCGTTGAGTTGGAGAATGGTATATATATTTTACTGTTCTTTAACACATTGATCTTGTGCTAGCAAGACAAGTTTGTTTTAAAACATGATAAATAAGAAGAGCAAAACCCTTGAAATAGAAAATCATTGCAGTTAAACAGGTTTGCTAATTGATAAACATGCTGTTTTTCTAAGACATTAAATAGTGAACATTTTGATGTTGGTTATAATGCATACAAGTACATAGCTTTTCCACAAAAGTTTAGAACTATCATGTTTTTAAGATTTTTTACTTTAGACTTTTTTTTGCAATGTATACACTCCTATAAAGTGAAAAATTATAAAGGGAAAAAACAATCCTGCAATTGCAATCACAAAATGGATAGAAATCTAGTAGTATCCTCTAAGACTGCACATAAGGCAAACCTAATATGTATTTCCTTAAAGCAATAGAAACCAAACCTTTAAGCAATAGAAACCAAACCTTTAAGCAAACAATACACAACGCGAGATCATTTTTTGGAGTGCACCTGCACATTATTTTATACGGACACAAATATTGATGATGATGAAAAGAGTAAAAAAATCATAACTCATTGATGAAAATATAATCATTAAGTGTGAGAAGTAGGAATAAAAATAAATGCAGATATGGGATGGGAATATATCAGAAGTCACAAGGGAAAGATGACCCAAAATCCGAAGAAAAAATGACGGAGATGGAAGACACCTAGGGTACAACAATAGGTGACAAGAAAATTACAACCCAAGTTCAATAATTTTTTATGGTATAATGATGTTGTTTGTTCGGTGGTGAGTTATTGTTTCAATTTTAACCATTATACTTGTAAAAGATAAGGAGAATATTACAAGCCTAAGTCCTCCCAAAACGGGGCAGAGAGCACTCCATAATAGAAAATCATGAAAACCAATACAACATAAATGATGGCAAGATTTTGTGGACATTCGGGGGAAAAGGATGCTTAAGAGATCTTTTTGACGACTACAAAAACTAAGATAAATGTGTGCATGGCATCTTTTTTCAACTAATTAAAAGACTGAATGGTCAGACTAAGTACATGGCACAATGATGATTGTTCGATTATGATGGCATCCTTTGATTTTATATATATCTCATTTGGTCATTGCTCATTGAATATGATGGCTCAATCCTTGGCTCAGAAATGTTGATGTGCAACTAGGGTCTTTGGAGTTGATTCAACCGGACTTTATATCAATGTTTTAGGTTTCATAATGGAAGTTTGGAGTTTTTTACTGTTAAAATATGACACAAAATTAGTCATTTGAACCCGGCAATTTAAGTCTTTAGGCTTCAATTTTTGGCTTCAGTACAGAGAAGTTTCAAGGATTACATTAGAACAAAATTGGAAACCAATTAAATGGCCACATTAGTATCAATTCAATAAACAAATTTACTATGAGAATATTTTACAAAACCCTAAACCATGAAAGGGATCACATGAACATCCCTTTTTTTCTCATAGCCCTTGTTTTCTCATGAGATTTCAGGGGGATGAAGGCGATTTATAAGTAATTAGTCCGTACCTCTTAAAGAAGGGCTTTTAAATACATTAATTTCTTCAAACAAAGGAGTTTAATTGTAAATAATTTGTGAAGTGAATGAGAAAGTTTTAGCAAATGAGTATACGTAAATAAGTTTTGGTGGTATAGGTTATCCTCACTATAACCTATGATTAGAGTGTAATATCATAAAGTTTGTTTGCACTCATTGTATAATTCAACATTTCCCTTTATAGAAAACATATACTTGTAAGATAAATAGCCATTTGGGGAGGGGGGTAAAACGGAAGGGAACTACTTTGTGTTTAAAATAACATATCAATTAACCATTTTCGAATGAGCATAGATGGCCTAAATATCGGTAAACAGATACTTGACATATCTACGGCAAACCTGATCTATAGTTGTAAATGTCATTTTGTATCATTTTAGGTCTAGCTCTGTCGTTCTTATTGCATTTTGAGCCATTTGCTCCACAAATTATGCCATGTCCTCCATAGTCATTCTTTGGATATATTTAGCATTGGAAATAAATAATAAGGCTTTCACAGTTTTGGAGTTTTAAAATGTGATATAAGGAAAGCGGTGTAGCAAAGTTTCATGGTTATCAGATACATGTGTCATGATAGTGTTTAGAAAAAAGTATATATTCCATGATCTTTGTTACTCACAATGACTTCGAATCCATGGCATATCAAACCAATACAAATCAAGTTTGTCCACTTCTTATCATACCACATACGGAGTACAAAATTTGTAAAACTTGAGTTAATCATCTGAAGTCTGAACAAGTAACAAGTACATCTTTGGCAATTGTACTTCATATGTCCCAACAGTTTTAACAAAACTTTTCTCACTTTAAGTTAACGTTGTATCTGTGGGTGCTTGAAAAAAACTATGTTCTTTAAATAAAGGCAAATAGAAAGCTTTTGAAAATTCAAACATCGTAGAGCATGATAAAATTTGGGAATTGAGAAGTATTATATGTGAAACTGATAAAATTACTACTAACTTGGCCTTAAGAACCAAAAGAGGGGAAGAATCTAACCTGAGATTAAAGCTACTCAGTTGCAAAATAGAGAATTCCAAAGAGGCTTCTGTTCCATCAAAATGATACAGCTAACTACTTTTGGGGAGTATGAAACTCCAGACTCCTGCCATATTTAGGTCATGATGAAAATGGGCGATAGAGATCCAACAGTGTATGGGCAAAAATGGCGTGAAACCTGGACGGGCGTACTCAACTTCTTAACGGAAAAGTAGCACAATTGGAACTGGTACTAAACACACACTATCATTTTATATTATATAGTGGATTAATTCAAGGGTAGATTTCAACAGGAACATTTATGGTCTGGAAACACGAAGGGTAAATGTTATGTGTAGGGTCCATCATCATGCCTTTCTATTTTTAAGACTTAAAAGAATCAAAATTAAATCTATCAATAGTCAATACCCAAAAAAAAGTACCAGAATAAAAAAGATATCAAACTCATACCGGTAAACTTCTTGACTAAATGAACTTTTAAAAAAAAGAATAAGGTATAAGGATGCTAATATTATCAAGCAAAGTACATTAATGATTAACTAACAAACTGCTATGAAGAATCTTACCCTATGCTTCACACAAGCTTGAAAATTCTTAATAAACTGCTATGAACAGATTTATAAATTCTAAAATTGAAAATTTTCTTTAGAGCATCTATACAATAAAACACAATGTTTTAGATTAAAAGCATAGACAAAAGTAGAAGGAAATGACTCGAGTTTAATATGCATCCCTGACAGAGTCCATATAACACTTTGAAATAGCTTAGCAAACATGAAATAAAACATTTTAATGTAAAGCTTACACACTTGGCTGACTGCCACAATGAATAACAAATTGAAGGACATAATTTCCAGTGGGAAATAAAAAAACCAATGAAAATAATAAGAGTGAGGTGTTAGCTATACAACCAAAGTAATTAAAATAGTAAGTCGGCAAACCATGAGGGAAAAATAACAAAATTTTGCAGAACCATTAGTTCTTCAATGTATTTATGTAAACAAAATAACAAAATTAACAGACCCTTGCCATTTCATGAAGTGTGTTAGGATTGTGTCTCCTTGCCATTTCATGTTCATAGCAATATGCCATCTGGGAGACAATGAACACACCCTCAGCAATACGCCATTTGAGACTATCTTAGGGCTTTCCCAGAATCCACATATTCATAAAGCATTGAATCCACTCTTCAGTTCACAGAATGCAGGTGTCATAAATTTCAAGAAATCATTATTGTTGCTGTTTATTCATTTATTCTCATCGGATTCTAGATTGTGATTGACTTGACAAAACCAGCCTAACATTTACATCTTTCCCATTTTATTTTCATATGTGAGATCATTATCTTTCTTTATTTCAACAGCTTTGGGGAGCCGGTTGGAGAGATTCTTTGCTAATGAAATACAAATAGGGAATTCACAAATCTCTCTGTTTTTTGCTTAAACTTTTTACGCAACACAATACTCAGTATATCATCAATCCCAAATTGACAAACTCTAACAGTAATTTATCAGTGTAGAACATTATCACTTATTAAAAAATCAAAGGAGAAATACGGTGATGGTGGTGATAATGATTCTCTAACTTATTAAAAGAGAATCAAATAAATTCCGATCCAGCTTCCAAATCCCTATGGTGATGGTGGTGATAATGTGATTCTCTAACTTATTAAAAGATAATGTGTGCACGCACGCGCACACGCACACACACACACATGGCATAGATGCATATTATTTAATATGAATTCGATCTCCAGATCGGAGGATGCAATAGGAAAGAAAAGAACAAATAGAGTTAGGACTGATTGAGGAGGTTTTTTAGCCCTCAGATTCAATCAAAAATAAAATTTATATATGCAAACATCGTATCAAAAACAAAATATATGAATATAAACCATCTAACTTGCTACAAAGAATCAGGTGCCTTGCAGAAAACAGGAAATACGTAGTAATTTACATTCAACCGAAGAACCACGTATTTGACGTTTGATTTCTTGAATTTTCTCGCACTGAATACATAAAATTTTGGAATGAAAAAAATAGTTCATCTTTTAGGGAAAAATGCTTTTGGTAATGTTTATTAAGACTCAGAAAAGATGGTCCAAGTTTTTTTAGAAAGGTCCAAGTTAAAAATAGTCCTAATAGAACATACGGAGTATTTTTAGGGCAAACAACTACATAATTACATCAAATCACAACGTTCATGAACACAATCTAGATAAAGCTGCTCATCATAAGCACTTACAATGTTAGCATGACTTCTTCTGCACATTTTCAACCATGTTTGGTTTAACTACGACATGTGAATCATCAAGTAAATTGAATGGCAGCGATTATCCTAGCATTGAACACAACACACTTCATCTACACAATCGGCATAACTTTAGCAACCCTAGAGAATAACCTTTTCATAAACTTTGGGTTTAGTGGTCTCCTAAATTGCCTACATACATCTAGCCCATTGATACTCAGTATCAAAACTTTAAAAACAACACATGGATTTCAAACACTTTAAAAACAACACATGAATTTAAAGCACTATCAAACACACCTTTATTAAGTGGCAGTGATTTTACGCTTTTAAATTATCTAACACAGAAATGGAGTTCAAACACTTCAGAAAAAACACATAATTTAAATGTCCATTATAGAATATATAAAAAAAGACATCCTTTCTTAAAGTCTAAAAAGGTTTTTATGGGATCCAATCCAAAGTCCAGTCCTTGGGATGAAATAATTGTAGTTTAGGATTGGATTTTGGGTGGACTCTGGGTTGGATTTTGACTTTTGGGTTTAGAGTTTAGGTATGTTTTTGGGTCGGGGTTTAATGACTCGATTTTGGGTCTAGTGTTTGGGGCTGGTTTTTTGTGTTAGAGAAGTAAAATATCTATCATGATCGTTTTATAGCTGATTGTTTAGGTAGCAATATATTCCCTAAACTAAATTATACAATTGGTAAAGAGTGAATATCATATAACAAAAGAGAAGTTTTAGTAGGAGAAAGATTGCTTCTGGGTACCCCCTATTTTGAAAAACTAACCGCAGGATACCTCATATTTTTAAAATATACTCTGGGGTACCCTCTATTTTAAGAAATTAACTGTCAGGTAATTCACATTTTAAAACTATACTCCGGGTAACTCCAAATGTATATTAACTTACCCATGAGGGACATTCTGTTTCATTCGAAAGCTTCGATTAAACCCGATAGATTGTATCCTTAAAGTATAAAAACTAAGGTTATTTTTGGAATTCCAAACCTCTAATTCTTAAAATTAATGGTGTAACTGGCTTTGATGAAGAGTGAGACGGAATGTCCTTCACCGGTAAGTTAATGTATATTTGGAGGTACCCCGGAATATATTTTAAAAATGTGAGGTACCCAATAGTTAGTTTCTAAAAATAGAGGGCACCCCGGAGTATATTTTAAAAATACGAGGTACCCAGCAGTTAGTTTCTTAAAATATGGGGTACCCAGGCGCAATTTTCTGGTTTTAGTAGCATAAAACAATACATACATGCAAAACAACATAATCTTCTTGTTTGGTTTGGTGATTGTTGTCGTTAAAAGCAATAGTTGAATTTTCATAATGCCCCGAAATATTGAAGATGCCTCATGGATACCTTTTTATTAACTTGAGTGTATATTTTTAAATTTTCAATGTATGATAATGAATTAAAGTATGTTGTGATTTTCATATGCTTTTTCCAATCTAGCAGTGTAAACACGAACAATTCTAAAAGCAATGAGGGCTTAAAACGTTGTTTAAAAAGATGATCTATCTAGGTTCCAAAATATATAAATAATATTCTCTAGTCACTCAGTTGTTGTTGGATAAAAAAATCAAGATTCAAATGATGTTTTGATTGATTTTTGATTAGATCAAGAATGATGTTCCAAAATGTAGCAAATTGAATGGTACATGTAAGTATTGAAAAAGTACCCAATCCACTACCAGAGTAATGAAAACAAAAAAATACATATAAAGAATTGAAATTAAAATCAGTTGAATTTTTTTTACTTAATCAGTCGACATACCTTCAAGAAACAGTGAAGAGTGTGTGAACCCAACTACCAAAACCAATTATAAATAGCTGTAATGAAACATATATTGAAATTGAAAAAGTTTAACGCATATTCTCATTAGTATGAAATTATTGGGAGTAAAATCGGGGATTTTAAAGTGATTCTTGAAACGGAAAGCCAAAGCCAATAGGCATGTACTGGAAATCCCTCTTATTGCATCTGTGTGGAGTAAATTGGGAATAATCAGGAAAAAAACGAACGCAGTTGATATTGTTGAGGCGGCGAGCGTATGCAGCTCAGCACCGGAGCACCAAGAACACATCACGTAAAAATCGAACGCAGTTCATATCTTAACGATCTAAGTCGCAGGATAGTCGTAGGTCTTTTTGAGCATTTAGTGCATATGATTATCATCAATTCAAAGAGAATTAAGTTTTAAAATAAATTTAACATGGAATTGGAAAGTGGCTAGCGTGTAAACGGCGTCAAGGGTAGAGTGGGGTGTAATTTGCACCGTACAACTTTTAGAGCTATATGTATAAGTTTTTTGGGTGGAAAAAGAACATATTATTAAGAGGTACCTAACCTACTTTTATGTTTATATAATAGTATACGTATATGTCTTTCTTATTATATAAACATAAAAGTAGGTTAGGTACCCCTTAATAATATGTTCTTTTTCCATCCAAAAAACTTATACATATAGCTCTAAAAGTTGTACGGTGCAAATTACACTCCATTCTACCCTTGACACCGTTTACACGCTAGCCACTTTCCAATTCCATGTTAAATGTATTTTAAAACTTAATTCTCTTTGAATTGATGATAATCATATGCACTAAATGCTCAAAAAGACCGACTATCCTGCGACTTAGATCGTCAAGATATGAATTGCCTTCGATTTTTCCGTTGTTCTTTTCCAAGAATAAATTCTGATAATACCCAATTTACTCCACCACACAGATGCAATCAGAGGGATTTCTGGTACATGCCTATTGGCTTTGGCTTTCCGTTTCTAGAATCAGTTTAAAATCCCCGATTTTACTCCCAATAATTTCATATTAATGAGAATATCTGTTAAACTTTTTCAATTTCAATATATGTTTCATTGCAGCTATTTATAATTGGTTTTGGTAGTTGGGTTCACACACTCTTCGCTGTTTCATGAAGGTATGTCGACTGATTAAGTAAAAAAAATTCAACTGATTTTATTTTCAATTCTTTATATGTATTTTTTTCTTTTCATTACTTTGATAGTGAATTAGGTACTTTTTCAATACTTACAGGTACCATTCAATTTGCTACATTTTAGAACATCATTCTTGATCTAATCAAAAATCAATCAAAACATCATTTGAATCTTGATTTTTTTATCCAACAACAACTGAGTGACTAGAGAATATTATTTATATATTTTGGAACCTAGATAGATCATCTTTTTAAACAACCTTTTAAGTCTTCATTGCTTTCAGAATTGTTCGTGTTTACACTGCTAGATTGGAAAAAGCATATGAAAATCACAACATACTTTAAATCATTATCATACATTGAAAATTTAAAAATATACACTCAAGTTAATAAAAAGGTATCCATGAGGCATCTTCAATATTTCGGGGCATTATGAAAATTCAACTATTGCTTTTAATGAAAACAATCACCAAACCATACAAGATTATGTTGTTTTGCATGTATGTACTGTTTTATGCTACTAAAACTTCTCTTTTGTTATAAGATATTCACTCTTTACAAATTGCATAATTTAGTTTAGGGAATATATTGCTACCTAAACAATCAGCTATAAAACGATCATGATAGATATTTTACTTCTCTAACAAAAAAACCAGCCCCAAACACCAGACCCAAAATCGAGTCATTAAACCCCGACCCAAAAACAGACTTAAACTCTAAACCCAAAAGTCAAAATCTAACCCAGAGTCCACCCAAAATCCAATCCCAAACTACAATTATTTCACCCCAATGACTGGACTTGGGATTGGATCCCATAAAAACCTTTTTAGACTCTAAGAAAGGATGTGTTTTTTTATATATTCTATAACGGACATTTAAATTATGTGTTTTTTTTTTGAAGTATTTGAACTCCATTTATGTGTTAGATAATTTAAAAGCGTAAAATCAATGCCACTTAATAAGGGTGTGTTTGATAGTGCTTGAAATTCATGTGTTGTTTTTAAAGTGTTTGAAATCCATTTATGTGTAAGATAATTCGCAAGTGGTTATTGCAAAATTTTTTCACCTAATTTTCTTACATTAAATAAATCATGCTTAATACTTATGAGAGCAAAGAAGATAACACGAGTTACTTTAGAAAATCATTTTTAAGGTAATTTGTGTCCCATATGTTTACAAAAATAACAATTTTCAAATCATATTTTCATATACAGTTGTGGTGTGATAGCTAAGTTGGAATATGTGGCTTCCTTTGACAATCTTTTAAGTAATGGAAAAAGTAAAATCATGCTCCAAACCCCAAACCCAGAACCAAAACCAATCCCTGCTTTGTCGAAGCCCAAAACCCTAATACAAACCCAAAACCTAGAACAAAAAACAAGCTCCAAACACCATACCCAAAACCCCAACCTAACAATAAACCTAAACTATAAACCCAAAAGCCAAAACCCAACTCGAAAAAAACCCAACCCGAGGTCTACTCCAAAACCAGCCCTAAACTACAATGATTTCATCCTAAGCCTGGAGTCGGGAACGGATTCCTTATACAAACCATAGACATTGAGAAATGATGTTTTTTGTAGTTATATATTCTCTTACAGAAATTTGGTAATGTGTTGTTTCAGAAGTTTTTGAAATCCATTTCTGTGATAGATGATCCAAAAGTGTAAAATGAATACTAAAATACTTTGAGGCATTATGAAAATTGAACCATTTCTTTTAACAACAAACAGTCACCACACCAAACGAGAAGAGTCAAAACACCCTCGTAAAGGTAGTTTATTGAAAACATTACTAAGTTTATGAGTTTAAATTGAAATATGAAATTAAGTTTCAAAGTTGAGTTGAGTGATGAAACTCGGTAGAATCAAGGAATGATTTTCAATGAACATTTCAACCGACTATTGCTCATTAAAAAAACTTCTAGCCAAGATGGACGGAAAGAGCTTTATTTGTGAAGTGAGAGTTGACAACGAACAATTTTAGGGAAGAAATAGGATAAATTATAAATTCAATGGTCTTTGTGAAAATGTTGCCTTCTCACAGTCACTTAGTGTTGAAGGAAATAAATGTTGACTTCTCACACTCTTTGTGAAAATATTGTCCTCTCATAGTCAGTAGTCAAGTATCTGTCACAAGAAGATTGATCTACGAAGAAGGAATTCTATCATAATACATTCTTTTTAAAAATATACTACGAAAAGAAAATTATACCCACAACAAAAAAAATAGTACGGTACATTATGCTTTGGGTTTTTTGTCCACTAATTTTTAAATCCAATTTTGCCATTATGCCGTTCATATGCTATTTCCGATGGGCTGAAAATAAATCGTGATATTTCTATTAATTTCTCCGTAAATTTTTATTGATATCTGTCTTAATATTCCATAATCCTTGTAAAATTTTCTTCCGTTCAATCTGCGATGGGAGAATCTACAGAACTTCTCCCAAATTGGCATGCTTATTATATCATCAAATTGCTTAATTCCGGTGATATCATCAGATTGCTTAATTTCTGTTGTGCTGTTTGTGATCTGTGATCCTCGCCCCAAATTTTGCAAATTTTAATTTCTTTAGATTGCATAATTTACAATATGTTACTACCAATACTCTACCCATTTCATCATGTTTGAGAAGGAATTAGCAATAAAATCATAGTAATTAATAACATGGTTCGATTCATGCATATTTTACCCATTTAAAATTGCAGTAGTCTTCTGATATTTATACTCGGTGTAGATGGTGGGTTGATACACTCGCTTCACAAACTTTAATTCCATGTATGTGAATTGTTTCAATACCAATTTCTTTTCCATTTTTGAAAACTTTAAAAAGAATTTTCATGTTATGAATTCACCAGAATATGCAGGTGCTTTTTTCAGCTTAAGAACTTGGCACACCATTCTTGTGCTAATTACTTATCAATCCAAAAATCATTCCAATTCTTCAAGTAATTATAAATATATTTATCAATTTTTTAATGCAATATTTTTAAATACAAAAACAAATCTTTGCTTGAACAAAATAATCCTACCTTTAATAAGCTTTCGGATTTCATTTTCTACGTGTTCAATTCTCATGATTTTTTGGTTTTAAAACACTTTTGAACCAAATTGTTTAATTTCCGTTGTGCTGTTTGTGATCTGTGATCCCCGTCCCAATACTCTATTCATTTCATCATGTTTGGGAAGGAATTAGCAATAAAATCATAGTAATTAATAACATAGTTCGATTCATGCATTTTTTATCTATTTAAAACACTCTTGGTTTTTTCTTGAACCAAGAGTGTTTTAAAACCAAAAAATCATGAGAATTGAACACGTACAAAAAGAAATCTGAAAGCTTATAAGAAGTAGAATTATTTTGTTCAAGCAAAGGTTTATTTTTGTATTTAAAAATATTGCATTAAAAAATTGATAATTATATTTATTATTACTTGAAAAATTGGAATGATGTTTAGATTGATTAGTAATTCGCACAAGAATGATGTGCCAAGTTCAAGCTGTATCTAATAGACTGAAAAAACACCTGCATATCCTGGTGAATTCATAACATGAAAATTCTTTTTAAAATTTTCAAAAATGGCAAAGAAATTGGTATTGAAACATTTCACATACCTGAAATTAAAGTTGGTGAAGAGAGTGTATCAACCCACCATCTACACCGAGTATAAATATCAGAAGACTGGTGCAATTTTAAATGGGTAAAAAATGCATGAATCAAACCATGTTATTAATTACTATGATTTTATTGTTTATTCCTTCTCAAACATGATGAAATGGATAGAGTATTGGTAGCAACATACTCTAAATTATGCAATCTAAAGAAATTAAAAGTTGCACAATTTGGGACGGGGATGAGATCACAAACAGCACGGCCAATTTGGCCAATTTGGGAAAAATTAAGCAATTTGATGATATAATAAGCAGGCCAATTTGGGAAAAGTTCTGCAGATTCTCCCATCGCAGATTGAACGGAAGAAAATTTTACAAGGATTATGGAATATTAAGATAGATATCAATAAAAATTTACGGAGAAATTAATAGAAATATCACGATCTATTTTCAGCCCGTCGGAAATAGCATATGAACGGCATAATGGCAAAATTGGATTTAAAAATTAGTGGACAAAACCAAAAGCATAATGTACCGTACTATTTTTTATGTTGTGGGTATAATTTTCTTTTCGTAGTATAGTTTTAAAAAAGAATGTATTGTGGTAGAATTTCTTCTTCATAGATCAATCTTCTTATGGCAGATACTTGAGTGAGAAGACAATATTTTCACAAAGACTGTGAGAAGACAACATTTATTTCCTTCAACACTAAGTGACTGTGAGAAGGCAACATTTTCACAAAGACCATTGAATCTATAATTTATCCTATTTCTTCCCTAAAATTGTTCGTTGTCAACTCTCACTTCACAAACAAAGCTCTTTCCGTCCATCTTGGCTTGAAGTTGTGAAATATCAAATTCTCCCGACCAATGGAGAGTCTTTTTAATGAGCACTGGTCGGTTGAAATCTTCATTGAAAATCACTCCTTGATTCTACCAAGTTTCATCACTCAACTCAACTTTGAAACTTAATTTCATATTTCAATTTAAACTCATAAACTTAGAAATATTTTCAAAACACTATCTTTAAGCTAAATACCAACGAAAACTTATCTTACCAATCAGACCAACACAATATTGAAGACAAGACGTACCTGACTCGAATTAGCTTGCCTGCAATATCGCCTGAAAGTCTTGTTGTAGATTACGCGGTGTTGATATCCATTGAAGGTTATTTGTCGTTGTGTAAGAAAAGGGAAATACTTTTCTCGAAAATCGGGTTCCAATTCCTCGCCACTCAGATCGTCGTAAGTGATCTCGTCGGGATAGAAATACCGGAATCTATCATCCGTCTGATTTTGGTTCTTTCGTATGGCTTTTCGTCCTCATCCGAATCATCACGACCCTTAACGATTTTGCCTTTTGCCGCAGCGCGACCCTTAACTATTTTCCTTTTTCCCACAGCACGAGTACTCCGAACGATTTTCCCCTCTTCTGGAACAAGAGGGCCACCGCGAGCAGCAAAGGAAAGCGGCGCCGAAGACCGCGGCGGCGGCGGAATCCACCCAGGGGGTAGTAGGGTTTGTTGTCTTCCTAGTTTCCAACTGGTATTTGTGGCAATCAATTTGAGCCCAAATGTTCTCAATTTGTTGTTATTTATCACCCTCGTCACACCATCTTATTTACAATATGTTATTAGGGCTGTTTGGTAACTTTTGAATGGGTAAGTGCTGAATTAGTAAGAGGTCTGAACCATTAAATGCCGAACCAGTAAGAGGTCTGAACCATTAAGAGCTAGTATATTGCTTAACTATTCAGAAGCAAATGTCTGATCAATTCAGATAAGAGGTATTAACCATTCAGTATAATACTAAACCATTCAGAGGTAAATCTCTTAACCATTTAGACATCTGAACCATTAAGAGGCTGAAACAAACAGTCTGAATCATTAAGTGCTGAACCATTCAGACATCTCAACCATTAAGAGGTTGAAACAAACAGCTCCTTAGTATTGGAACTAGAAAGAATTACAAGAAATTGACAGGAACTGGAAAGACTGAAAAAAATTCAAAAAATTGGAAACTCTTAAAAAACTTTAAAATTTTTTATTTTAAATTCTTTTTGTTGTAACATATTAGTTGTATTATTAGTATTATTACCATTATTATTATTATTATTATATTATTATTATTATTATTATTATCATCACCATCGTCATCATCACATTATTTTAATGAATGCATTTAAAATACAAAAAAATATTGTCATTTTTCAAATACAAAAAACTTTTTTTGCAAAAAAATAATTATAATATTTTTTTTGAAAGAAAAAATAATTATAATATAAAGTTAGCATAAATATAAAAAAATATTTTAAAAAATTTTTGTAGTTATGTTGCACCTCAATTTATTTATGAAGTATTTATTATAAATAGTATATTTGTACTTATACCTTAAATATTACAAAATTTATTATAAATATCAGACATATCGCATAATAATTATTATTTTTTCTTCTATTTTTAATATGAATAATACTTAGTACAATTTATCGCATAATCATTGTTTTTAATTTACATGACACTATTTTAAACTATATTCTAATAATTATAGATATTTTATTAAACTAAAGTGACATGGGAAAAAATATTAGTATTTTAAATTAAAAAAATAATAATTCTACTAGTTCTATATCCCTAACTAAATAATATTTATATAATTCACGTGATCATTTTTTACCTATTATAAATACAATAATAATAATAATAATAATAATAATAATAATAATAATAATAATAATAACAACGACTATAACAATTATAATAAGAATACAATGTAAAATATACATAAATAAATTTTTGAATTTTGTTCAATTTTGTAATTACTTCCAATTTTTTAGTTTTTTCTTTTTTTCCAACAAGGATTAACCCTAGCGAGTTGTCGACGTCGCCCAACGACCATTGCCCCCGACGCCGATCGTCTCTCCCATCGCCTACTACAGAGCTGTGTCGTCCCACGCCAGGCCGCCGCCACCGTGAACAGGTAGTCAGGTATGCTTCTTCTGTTCTTCTAAGTTCTAACCTCCATCTGCAATTAACTTTTTTTTGGATTCGAAACTGAACCTGTCGATAATATACATTTGAATCCACAAAATGAATTATTTTAGATCTTTTTTAAAGAGAATGATTTTAGATTATTGATTACATAATTACTGATGATTTTTTTTAATTCTTATAGAAAATCCAATTAAAAGTTATATAGATTACTGGTTAGAATGGTAAACTACCTTGTAATTTGTATGGGTAAGTCAGGTCTTTCGATCTTTTACTGTTACGAATCATCTGTTCACAACTTGCCCAGCCTGAAGAATGAAGTGAATTAAATCTACTTCTAATGTTAAAACATGTGGAAAGATCTTCTCCAACTATGGAGTATATTCACTAAGTGCATTTTTAATGTTGGTTGCTTAAGAGTTGCTTAGGAATATATTTTATTAAAAAATGCTTAGGTGGCTTATGACATAGAACCACAATTGCCTTAATTTGTTAGAGGGTTGCTTAGTAGCATGTTGATAATAAAAAATAGCTAAGAACTCTATTTGCAGTTAGGAATACTGTCAAAAATGGTATTTTCATATTAAAACTGAGTCAAAAGAGTTGCTCCAAAATAAATTGACCTAGATGCTTGACATACTAGTCACACTCAATAGTTCTGGAAATTGAAAAAGCTCCTACTATGCTAATTTATTTGGATAACAAGTTATTTTTCCTAATTCATTTACCTGTGTAGCAAAAATTATGAGGAACAAGGGTCCATTTTCATATCTATCAATTTATCATTATTGAAATTTATTTCATGCCATTTTCAATTTATCTTATCATTTTTATAATGTGCTATGCAAAAAATAAGTGATCAAGTAATCAAAATATACTTTGTTGGTGTGTCTGTGTTTGAGCACGGTCTCTTGAAAACTGTCCCTCTACTTCTTAGTAGGGGGTAGGTCTGCGTACTCACACCCTCCCCAGACTCAACTTTTCATGGTACATGCTTATTACATCAAAAAGGAAAAACAACAATTACAACATTACCCTAGTGCCTCAAGCCTCCTGCTCATTGCGGGGAGTTGTATGTACGCAGCCTGACCCTATGTTTAAAACATAGAGTGATTGTTTACAGATGACCCATCATGAGTGTTGAAAGTTAGAAAAATATTACTGCATATAATTGAATGTTAAAAGTATTGATTTTATAGTCATATATAAACCTGAATTTCATAATTAATGTTAGAAGTTTTGATTTCATAGTCATATACTAACCTGAATTTTATAAATAGTTTCCGTATAATTTCCGAACATGCCCTATCTGCATGACACAGAGTAACTAAATTATTAACCATTCCAAGTTTTCTTTGTCAGCCTGTTTGTATTTAACCACCCACATTTTGACCTATTTGCATTTTATTTTGCAGATTAGGGAGGATTATTATTTTGCACAAAGAAACCCCAGAGCTAGGAAAATGAACTCTTTGAGAAGCAGATTCTCGACAATCTTCCCTCATACCAACGCATCTCTCAGCACAGTGAGTTGGGAGCTTCAACAATGTCGTGGGATCCGAGTAAAGGTGTATAACAACAACTTGGAGAGAGCATTGGGCGTGATGCAGAGGATGATGCAATCTAGTGGGATTGAGCGACTCATAAAGCGGCCTCAGACTCGCCATATTAAGAACTCTGAGAAGCGGGTACTAGCTAAGAAAGCCCTTGAACGTAAGATTCGGTCCCAAGAACTTGCTCGCAAGCTCAAATCCATCCTCGTCAAGCGAGTCAGGTACACGGATATGAACTCTCAGCTTTAACATTGTTAGAGATTTTTAATTAAAAAACTCTTTTTCTTAAATTTTGCTACAGAGTAAAGACTGTTTTTGAGTTATTATTATTGTTGTTATAATAATAATACTTATTATCATTATTATTATTTTTTTGTATGGTGATATTTGGTGAGTGTATGTGTTTGTACTTTGTAGACAAATAATCACAATGTACAACAACAACGATGTGCAACACAATTTCTTTTTAGGTTGAAGATGAAAGTTTTGTAAAGGTGAAATTAAAATCCTAGTATCATGTCTTACAAATGGGCATTGCCCGGTATATTAGTAACTTAATGAAGAGTTAAGTGTATGACTTTGAGTTTTCTTGATGATTCCAGATCTCTTGGGCCAGATGAGTTTGGGCCTTTATATAAGATTCTTTGTCAGGACTAAAATTTATTCCTATTTAGGTTGATTTAGTCACTGGTCTGCAGAATAAATATTTGTTAAGCAAAGCCGATTCAGTGACATGCGACATGTCTAATTAGTAAATAAAATTTAAAACTAATTCAATACAGAGTATTACACAATACACACACACACACAAGTATATATAGAAGTAAATAACATATTACTCTGTCTCATTTTGGAATGCTCTAGTGGTGTTTAGACATTCTCCCGTTCTGTTTAGGGCACAAATTTTTAGTTGCAACCTAGGAATGTGAGATAAACTTACGTTGCTCAGAGTATTATTAATATTATGATTGGATTAGCAATATGCATGTTATTAGTGTGTTGTGTTTATGAATTAAAAATGCAAAAAGTGAATTAAAAAGTGCTATTAGTGAAGAAATTGCAATCAGATTCCAAATGCAGTTATATTCCAACTTCGCCAGCTATCTTTTACTTTTGCAACCTTTTCACGCTCATTTGGGGTAGTTTTTAGTTTTCAGTATTCTGTTCTTTGAAAACAAAAACCCAAATTTTGAAAGTCAGAAAAAATTGTTTTCAGTTTTCTGTTAAAAAAATTCAAAATCAACATGATTAGTGCAAGTACTTTTGATTTATCAAACAATATATATGTGAATATGTATTTAAAGAATATACTTCATATCTTACATTGATCTTTATATGAAGCCTAATATATCGGAATACACTTCATAATGGTTTATGATTTGCTCATTTTCCAAAAACTTGTTCAATGATATTTTATTTCATATATGTTTCTTTGATAAGTGTTATATTGTCTTTGGGATTTATATTCTGTAAGGACTTGTTAAATGAATTTATGGTGCATTAGACTAATTTTGGTTTTTGACTCTCAAAGGATTGCACTTCTCTTCTGCCAGATTAGATGCATAGACTATTATTTATGCTCTGATTTTATACTTTTACACAAGGATGTTATGACCTCCACTTTGTTGCAATTTACTACCATGTGTACTAATCTCTGTTCGAAATTACACCTCTCCACTCTTTCTCTGCCGAAATACGATATCTTAGAGCTTCTAAAACAATACATTTTATGCAATTTGACAAAGAAAGAGTGAAGGTGTTTTTTATGCTTTAAAATATATACTCACTATGTCTGGATTCAGTTGTCAATTGTCTTATTTTTGTTGTCCAGAATTAGTTGTCCACTTTCGATATGCAATAAAAAAAATCAGGTTGAATTGTCTCAGATATCCGAGAGATAAGTAAGAACATTATTGATATAAATGAGTTACAAACTCACTTGAAGGACTTATTTGGCATTTTAGGCTCACTTTTTGAAATGAGGTGCTTTAAAAAGTGGACAACTAAATCCGGTTGGAGGGAGTATATTCAACTCCAAAAAATGTTTGTTTAGCCAATATTAAGGTTCCGCTGAATCTATTCAATATTTGATAATTTATGTATCAAACAAAATATTTTAAGCATTTGTTTTTTAAATGTACTCCCTCCACTGCTCGAATAGTTTCACACTTTGACTTCACTTAGTTTAAGACGAGTGCTCAAAGTATGTAGTTGAAATTTGTTTAGAAGAAAAAAGAACGTTGTGAGCCTTTTATTTTACCCC